CCCCCTCACCTGTCTGTGGCTGTAGCCTTGCAGCAGGAGGAAGTAGGGAAGTCGAACGGCGGGTGGATGGAGTACTGGGTGGTGTTATCGTCGCTGCTCTCCGTTTCCTCCTTCTCCAGGCCGAGTCTCAGCTCCTCCTTGTCGGCTTCGGCCTCACCGTCCTCTCTGAGGGCGGAGCTCTGCCGCGCCCGCTCCGCCTCTTTCCCCATGGCGGGCAGGTCCATCTCGCTCAGACTCCTCCAGATGCCGAGTCCGTCCACGTCATTCTCACTGCCGTCCACGAACAGAGACGTCACCCTGCTGCGGCCCCTCTGCAGCTTACGGGCCTGAGCGTTGATCCCTGATGGAGCACAAGACGAGGAACGAGGACAAGTCAATACTGAGAAACAGAGTTTTTAATTAATCTGAATATCTACGTGTTACAATCTTTCATGCAATGTCAATTTGGGTCTCTGTTTGCTTTTGTGCATCATTTACAGTCTGTTTCTTAACCAGCTAAAAAAAAGTTATTATAGGGAGCTTTAACATTGAGTTTCCTGCATTTCTCAGTTTTAGATCATGTTTAACTTTAAATTTTGATTTTTAAGATTCTGAGAAACTGTTATAGACATTTGTAGCACCATTTTTTCACATTTAGAGAAAAATGGAAATGTGATTGGCCTACTCAGGGATAATAAATGACAATGTACAGAAATGTTAGTTACAGCCCGGCAGTGAATAAAAGATGGAGTCTGTTGCATATAGAGAATAAAATATGGATGTATGCAAAGACCAAGAAGGTAAGTAGTTACTGAAATGACGTTGAAGACTAAAATCCATAGACCAAACAGAAATAAATAAGAGAAAAAGCCCCTGTTGAAACCCCTCTGGTCAAACAGTGTTCTGGCTTCAGTTCAGATGAAACATGAAGCAGAGGAAGGAGAGGAAATGTGCAGGAGAGGGAGGTGATAGCAGCGCTCGGATCCGACTGACGTAACACAAACACCATTCAGCTGGTTTGGAGCGGACTCCACACCCGCCACTCTGCTCCGCTTATCAGCTGTGAAAACCAGAGTGCTCCATATTGTTCAGCAGAGCCTGAAACACGCACACTGTGGAGGGGAACGTTCGTGTCCCTGATCCGTGAGAGCATAGGAAGGTGGACCCCACCTGAAAGATCCACTAGGAACTTTTCACGTTTTTACTACCGATTTCAGGCTGCAGATTTTGAAATTATTCAGTTCCTGTGCATTAGGACCATTATTGGAAACTATAACGTTCACTTAAAAACCCAGATATGACTTCTGTGTCTTTGAAAATAACTAGCTGGAAAAAGCTTGGTACAAAGTCGGAAACAGCTTTCCTGGCTCTTGCCATGGGTAACAAAATTCTCCTTCAGCACTTAAAATTTTAAGCACCAACACATTTAATCTTGTTTGTTTAATCCGCACAAAAAACTACGAGTAAAACCAACACTTTCCTGTTTCATGGGCGATATGTGCCAGACTATTTCCTGGTATTTTTGCTGCTCAGGGCCAAGAAATAGTTGAAACAAGAAACTTCCTTGAACTGTTGTTGTCAAACTTCAGTTTCTGTATGGACAGAATAAACAAGATAGGGTGTTAATCACAGAGCTTTAGAGACGCAGCAGAGCCAGGCTAGCTGTTTCCCCTGTTTCCATTTTAAGCTAAGCTAAGTAGCTGCTGGCAGAGGAGCACTGTTTCAGAAAGTTATTTGGATTTGCCGTGTCTGCCCATTGGTAAACCACAGTCTGCTGTAAAGTTTGTCGGAAGTCTGAGGCTTCTAAAAGCAACAACACAATATGTTTATTCCAGCTTTTCATACAGCGGCAACCAGCTAAAAGCTGCGCTAACATGAGACAAATCATTTTCCAAAAGGCTGGTTTATAAAATATTGCATAGTAGGCCTGCACAATATGAGATAAATATGTAATTTACAATCTCATAACTATAAGAATTGAGATGAACAAACTTAAAGAGTGTAACTCAAAGTCTTTGTCCAGCTGTTCTTTATGTTTTTACATGTTTGTGTCACACTTTTCCAGTCTTCTGACTACTCAAAGCGCTTTCTCTACCACATCAACACACCGATGGCAGAGGCTGCTAAATTAAGTGTCCATCAGTATTAGCCAATCCATTCATTCACATTCACACACGCTGACGCAGCAGCGGGACAAAGTTGTGGATAAGTGTTTCACCCAAGGACACATTGACATGAGAGACGCCCATCTCTACCACTGAGCCACAGCCCATGTCAACACAATACCATTTCAAAAAGCATTTATTTCACCACTTAATTACAGATTAATCTGAGGGGAACTGATAGCTAGCTTGAGCTTCATCTGACTGCATAAAGATGGTGTGATAGCATGAATGACGCAGGTCTCAATGGATCAAATTTAAGCAGGTTAAGTGTGAAATAATTACCATTTTACTTTTACTGAGGATCTGTTTTTTTTACAACAGATTTATTATTATTATTATTATTATATTATTTTACAAACACGTGGTATTGAAAGGTATGGAAGCGTTGAAAAATCATGCCAAACCTAACACACAGATACAATTTAACGTCTGAATCCTGTTTATATGAAGCCGCATCAGGAGGAATTTCCAACACATCAGTGGGACCAAGAATAATAGTGATAATAAACATCGGTGAGGTAACACAGGGAGAAACACAACAGACCTGTGCCAGAGTCAACACGGTCGCTCAGAGCGCAGTGAGCAGGAAGTGAAGCTCTGACTGAAAGAATAACAGGGCGAGTGGACACACTGAGAAGGGGGGAGCTGCCTCCAGGTTTCACGGGGGCCCTAATGGAGGGGCCCTTGCAATAAAACAAAGATAAGAGAGGGGGCCACAGTGACCTCCCGCGTCCCTCCCTGCTGCTTTTGTTCCTCCAGACCTCCTCTCTCTTCTGCTCTCCCCGCTGATAAGCTGCACAATGAGGTTGTAGGAGAGCAGGAGAAAGGCTCCCCATGTCACACAGACTCAGTGATTTATAACCAGGAGTAGAGATGTTAGGGTCGCTTGTGTTTATCACTGAGGATGGTTTGATGTGCGGCCCAACCTCTGGTCCCTGAAGCAGACCAGGGACAGGACATGTGAAGGTGTTAGCCTCGTATTTACCTGCTGTAACGGTGTCTCTGTCCTTTAAGCTCTGCTCCTCTACGCTCGCTCTCAGCTGGATTTCAAAGCGTCTGGAGAATCCTTCCTTTGGCTTCCACAGTGACTGCAGCATGAGGGGCTTCTCGTGGTCTCCCACCACCCGGAAACACTCCTCCTCCACTGGTTGACTGTCCCCGTCTGTCCGATCACATCGCACAGTACGTAGTCGCTGGGGTCTTCTTTTTCCAAACAGTACCTGAAGAACAAGATAAGACGTTGAAACAGGAGGACAAATAGAAGGGGTGGGGTTTTTAACCTTGTAAAACAGATATAAGGAAGAATGCAGTAGATGGGCAGATTGGATAACCACTGTTTATCCACATTGAAATATCTTAACAACCATAAAGTTGATTGGCATGGAATTTGGGATACAAACTTAATTTTCTTTCCAGGATCAATTCTAAAAACTCTAGAAATTTGCTTTATTTTGGTGCAGTACCATCATGACATCAAACTGACGTTTTGGAAGCCCCTCCCCTCACCTCTCTAAGGCCTCCTTCAGCAGCTCCTTAGCACTTGACTGAGTGGTGGCCAGCACGCTCTTATAGTTTGCCCCTGACAGATGTCGCTACCAAAGATCTTGAGGATGCCCGGTACGGACATCTGACTGGATAGCTCCGCTGGGTCGTCCGCAGCCTGTATGTCACCGGCCAGGCTGCCTCCACTGGGCGGCGTGCCTTGGCGTCCCCTGTCCCGAAGGTTTGGACTGTGGTTGAAAACGTTAGAGAGCCTGTTATTGTGGCGGCGGATTTTGCTCTTGGCCGGCTGCCGGACCACCACTCTGTCTGAGGATTGGACAATGCTGTCCGAGTTACTGGACCTGACAGGGAACAGAGGAGGAAACCCGATGAAACAACTTTAAACATGCATGATGGGGTGATCATGAAACAAAAATGTTTGTATTTGTGGTATAAGGCTCCTGAAAGGAGTTAATCCCAGTGTGTGAATGTCCACAGGGATTTTAATGGATTAATACAATGGTGGCTGAAACTTTGTCTATGTAGGGCTGGGCGATATGGACCAAAACTCATATCTTGATATTGTTTAGCTGAATGGTGATACTCGATATATATTTTATTGAGAAACACATGGAAAATAAACTACCTGTTTGTGAATTTAAAACGTAATATTATAAAATAAATATTAATATAAATACAATAAAAGAGAGAGAGAGAGAGGAGGAGCAGGGTAAAGAGGAACAGACAGTCAGTCATCATCATGAGATGAGAAAAAGGTGACCTGGCACCTCTGTAACGTTATTTTAATGCAACTTAAACTATATCGATATTAACGATATTGTCTGACCCTATATCTTGTTTGAAAATATATCGATATATCTTAAAAACTCGATATATTGCCCAGCCCTAGTACAGACCTGTTCAATTTGTATACCACCTAATATTTTCAGAAAATAACTATGGCAGAAGTGCATACAACATAAAGAAAGGCGGAAACTGTTAATTAACTTAAAAAAATGGAATGGTTGAAACATTAGCAAAATCACATAAAGCAGGCTTAAATGCACCTTAAAATACATCTGTACAATATTTAAGATTGTATGCCACTTTCCCAATAATATATGCATTTCTGGAGCATATCATGACATATTTAATCAATATCATGTTACATTACAAAATATCAAAAATATCTATTTAACAGGTGCTGTTTTTAGTGCCAGAATAATTAACACATTATGCAGACAAGAGTGATATTTGATCAAATAATGCACCTATATTCTGAAAATTAAAAAGTGTTTTTGTTACTGTATTTTCATTTTAAAATTAGCTTTTTCATTTGAATTATGATACAAATTTAGCGGGGCATTTTTTTGAAAATAATAAAGCAAATGTAATTTTCTTCTTCATTTTAATTTAGTCAAAGAATGTGAATTTTTGAAGTTGAAAACTAAAATTCAAGTTAGATAAATTAATCATCGTTTTATTTTTGAGTCAAATAATACACTCATACATTCTGAAAATTAGAAAGCATTTCTGTGAAGGCATTGTCATTTTTGAATTAGCTTTATCATTTGAATTTTGATCACTAATCGCTTCCATAATAGACCACGTTACTGTGCATAAACATTTTATTTTTATTTTTTAAAATTTTATTGGTCAATTTTATTTCATTCAAAGAAACAATAAAGTTAAGAAAAACAAACAAACATAAAATCTCAAATTTTGAATGAAAAGGAGCAGAAAGAAGATTAATCTTATGATATCTGCCCCTCTTTCACAAAACATTAATTAAATCAAAACAGAACACTTCATTCAAAAACAATTTAAATTAAATTTAAAATAAATTTAATTAAATTGGCTGCAGGCAAACACAGCCACTGGCAGCCCCATTGTAAGTCCTCCTCAACAATTCATTATGCACCGTACAAAGTATATCACAATAAACTTTTGTTACAGCATCACGAAACAAAACAGTATCTCTCTGACATATTTCCACATATTTATTCAACAAACTGACTTTAATTTTTCTTTTAAAAATCATGTTTGATTTGACAATATATCTTAAATGGTCATAAGTTAAGAGGAAGCACCTCACACTATTTAATATTGATTATTTATAGCCTATAGTAATCAGTCCTACATATTGGGGTGTGTACTTACTGCAGAGATCCATTGCTGGGTTTCCTCCCCAGTTTGGCCAGGCGCTTCTTTGGAGAGCGGATAAGTAAACCCACAGGGAAGTTCAGAGCCTGTTTATTAACGTGACTGCTTCTCTCCTCCGAAATCATCATTACTTTTAGTCTTACATGAACAAAACTGTTGAAATATCAATACGAGAATGAAATGAACATTAGGCAATTCGCCGGTAGCCTGGCTGAAGGGGAGAAAAGTAGCCCAGAGAAATTTCCACTTCCGACAGTTAAATCCGCATGAATCACGAAAAGGTCTCCAACACGACCTTTATATTCAGGAGAGTTTCAGAGTAAGTCAAAGTGTTGGTGGATGAGATGGTCTTGAGTTACATTCCCACACAAGTTAGAGGAAAAGCGAAAAAGAGCCGATTATTCAAATCAGTTTTCGGTGACATAGAATCCAAACAGAGCTTGAAATGAAGTCGAGACATTTTCACTCCAGTTCCCCCTCTTCCTGACTGAGGAATACACGTTTTCTCAAGTCCGTTTTAGTCCTTTGGTTCCAAGCGGTCCGGGAAGCTGGAGGGGACTGAATGAACAACCTGCTGCTGGAGACACGAGCCACTACAAGTGACGTCACTTCAACTCCACACGCCTGGGCCGCGAGGAGGCGGGGGAAATCATACACACTCATACACACTCATACACACTCATACACACTCATACACAGCCATACACACTCATACACAGCCATACACACTCATACACAGCCATACACAGCCATACACACTCATACACACTCATACACAGCCATACACACTCATACACAGCCATACACACTCATACACAGCCATACACACTCATACACACTCATACACAGCCATACACAGCCATACACACTCATACACAGCCATACACACTCATACACACTCATACACACTCATACACACTCATACACAGCCATACACACTCATACACAGCCATACACACTCATACACAGCCATACACACTCATACACACTCATACACAGCCATACACACTCATACACAGCCATACACACTCATACTTAGACTTAGACTTTCTTTATTGTCATTCAAACTTGTACTTTACAGTGCAGATAAGAACGAAATTTCGTTGCATTTGGCCCGTTGTAGTGCAAGATTAAAACATTTACATATAAAAAATAAAAATAAGGTGCAGATATAAATAGATATAAAAAGAAAAACTATGAGTAAAATACACACTCATACACACTCATACACACTCATACACAGCCATACACAGCCATACACACTCATACACAGCCATACACACTCATACACACTCATACACAGCCATACACACTCATACACACTCATACACAGCCATACACAGCCATACACACTCATACACAGCCATACACACTCATACACACTCATACACACTCATACACACTCATACACACTCATACACACTCATACACAGCCATACACAGCCATACACACTCATACACAGCCATACACACTCATACACAGTCATACACACTCATACACAGCCATACACAGCCATACACAGCCATACACACTCATACACAGCCATACACAGCCATACACAGCCATACACACTCATACACAGTCATACACACTCATACACACTCATACACAGCCATACACAGCCATACACAGCCATACACACTCATACACAGCCATACACAGCCATACACAGCCATACACACTCATACACAGCCATACACACTCATACACACTCATACACAGCCATACACACTCATACACAGTCATACACAGCCATACACACTCATACACAGCCATACACACTCATACACAGTCATACACAGCCATACACACTCATACACAGCCATACACACTCATACACACTCATACACACTCATACACAGCCATACACACTCATACACAGCCATACACACTCATACACAGCCATACACACTCATACACAGCCATACACACTCATACACACTCATACACAGTCATACACACTCATACACAGCCATACACAGTCATACACACTCATACACAGCCATACAGTCAGATCCAGTAGGTGTCGCCCTTGAGCACCAGCATAATCACTTTATTTATTTATATATAGCACCTTTTAAAAACACAGGTTTACAAAGTGCTTTGACAAACAGCAAAAACAAGAACAAAGCAAACTAAAGCAAACACAGAAGAACATAAACAACAGCAAGAACATAACAAATGCAAAATACTAAAAAATAATGAAATACAATTCAACAGAAAAGAACCCAAAGTGCACGATACCCAACAGACATACATAACCCGACCATCACAAGAACCATGATAAGAACCCAGGCAACACAAGAACCATGATAAGAACCCAGGCAACACAAGAACCATGATAAGAACCCAGGCAACACAAGAACCCAACAACACGAGCTGAGACCAAGAGGAACCAAAGATTTAAAAAGATGTAAGAAACTAAAAGAGCTAAAAGCAAATAAAAAGATAACAGCAATAAGAAGGTAAGAGCAGTAAAATAAAT